CCTTAGCCACAAGGGGTAGAGATATAATTCTTAAAATCAGGCAGAGCGGTCTACAACACAAATCCACAAATTAGGTACGTGCCCTGACTAGGAATTGAACCTGTGCAAACTTTTGGTTACAGGATGACACTCAAACCAACTGAGCCACACTGGCCAGAGCCATAATATTTTCTCATAATGCTTTGTGTTTCTGTGGTTCAATTGTTACTTCTCTTTTATTTCGGTTTTTGTTCATTTGGTTTTTTTTCTTGATGTGACTGTTTAAATGCTTATCAATTTTGTTTATATTTATAAAGAACCATCTCTTGATTTCATTGATCTTTTAAAAAAATTTTAAAACTCTGTTTCTGTTGTGATCTTTATTATTTTCTTCCTTCATAGAAGGGCTTCCTGTTTTTTTTTCTAGTTCCTCTGGGTGTAAAATTAGATTGTTTATTTCAGATTTTTCTTGTGTTTTGAGGTAGACCTGCAATGTTATAAATTTCCCTCTTAAGACTGTTTTTGCCCTGGCTGGTGTGGCTCAGTGGATTGAGTACCAGTCTACAAACCAAAGGGTTGCCAGTTTGATTCCCAGTCAGGGCACATGCCTGTGTTGCAGGCCAGGCCCCCAGGATGGGGCGTGCAAGAGGCAACCACACATTGATGTTTCTCTTCCTCTCTTTCTTCTTCCCTTCCCCTCTCTCTAAAAATAAATAAAATCTTTATCAAAAAAAGAAAAGACTGCTTGTGTTTTGAGCCATAGATTTTGTATTCTGGTGTTTTCAATTTTGTTTTTTCGAGGTATCTTTTGATTTCTTCCTTGATCTCATTGTTAACCCATTCATTGTTTAGTAAGAAGTTATTTAGCCTCCATTTGTTTGTGTTTTTTTCATTTTTTTGTCATTGATTTCCAATTTCATACAGTTGTGATCAGAGATGCTCGATATGATTTCAATCTTTTAAAACTTATTGAGACTAATATTTTCTGTCTTAACATGTGGTCTATTTTAGAAAATGTTCCATCTGCACCAAAAGGAAGTATATTCTGCTACTTTAGGGTAAGATGCTCTGAAAATATCAATGAAATCTATGTGGTCTAGTGTGTCATTTAAGGCTGCTATGTCCTTGATTTTCTGTCTGGAAAATTTATCCATTGATGTCAATAGGGTGTTAAAGTGCCCTATTACAATTGTTTTACTGTTGATCTCTCCCTGTTCATCAAGATCTGCTTTATATATTTAGGTGTTCCTATGTTAAGTATATAAATGTTTACAATCTTGTTGGATTTATCCCTTTATCATTACCCTTTATCATTATGTAATGTCCTCCTTTGTCTCTTATTATAGTTCCTGTTTTAAAGTCTACTTTTATCTCATATAAGTATTGCTTTGTTTTTGCTTCTGCATGCATAACATATCTTTTTCCATCCCTTTACTTTCAGCCTGTGTGTATCTTTAGTTCTGAGGTGGGTCTTTTGTTTTGTTTCAAACTTTCAAGCATTACTTTCAAAAGTGAAATTTAATGCACTAAAGAAAAATAATCAGATAAAAGAAGCATTTGATTTACAAAATCCAGAAACAATATTTAATTGTAATTTTGTGGATTATGTATTTTTAGACAGAGCGGAAGGGAGGGGAGAGGGAGAGAAACATCAAGGTGTAGTTGCCCCTCATGCACCCCCTACTGGAGACCTGGCCCACAACCCAGGTATGTGCCCTGACTGGGAATCAAACTGGCAACCCTTTGGTTTGCAGACTGGCACTCAATCCACTAAGCCGCAATAGCCAGGACTAATTTGGGGTTTTATATATATGCAAATTCTTTGATACACTTTCCTTTCAGAGATGGAGTAATTTTCTCCTCTTGAGAGTAGGCTGGACTTACTCACTTCTAACTGATGAGTAAGGCTGATGTAATGGTGTATGACAGTCTAGGACACAAGATTCATTGCAGCTTCTATCTTGGTTGCTCTCTCTTTGATCACTTACTCTTGGGGAAGAAGCTACCTAGTCATTTAATGCCTTGTGGAAATGTCCACATGGTTAGGAACTGAGGTCTCCTGGGACTATCCAGGAAGGAAATCAAGCCTCTTCCAATAGCTACATGGGCGGGCCATGTTTCATGCAAGTTCTCCAGCCCAGTCAGCCTTCTAAGGTATAGCCCTGACTGACAACTTGACTGCAACCTTGAGAGAGGCCCTGATCTAGAAGCACTTAGGTAAACCTCTCTGGGATTCTTGGCCCTGGAAGATCACAAATATTTTGTTGTTGTGACCTGCTAAGTTTTGGTCATTTGTTATGCTACAATACATAATACTGTCCAAAGAAAGGATGAATTATTGTACTTTAGTTTTCATTTCCTTTAAATTAATTATAAGATATTAAACATGTCATTTGATTTTAAGATTTAAGAATTTCCATGGTTACCTGGCTGGTGTAGCTCAGTGGATTGAGCACAAGCCTGCGAACCAAAAGATCGCGGTTCGATACCCTGTCAGGGCACATGCCTGGGTTGCAGGCCAGTTCCTAGCAGGGGATGCACCAGAAGCAACCATACATTGATATTTCTCTCCTTCTCTCCTTCCCTTCCCTTCTAAAGATAAATAAATAAATAAATTTTAAAAAAGATAAAGAAAAAGAATTTCCATGGTTAATAGGCAGGATGCATTTTTAATGATCATTCATAACAATCTATTTCTTTAACTTCAATTTTTAACCATGACTCAAATAAACTCTAAAGGAAGAATAGGTTGTACAAGGTTGATTCTATGATGGTCTGTAATAATCACTCTGGTTATTCATCTTCCCCAATTATTAAGTCAAACACTAATGTAGGTACTGCTTGTAAGGGATTTTGCAGCTATAACTAAGGTCTCGAATCAGTTGACCTCAAGACAAGGTCAAACACTCTGAAACGCTACCCTGGGTGGGACTGTCCTAAACAGGTGAATCATGATTGGGGTTCCTCCTAAACAAAAAAATTCCAAGGCTGAGAGTAACTCAATGTGATATTTTGTCCAGTGAGGGCTTTAAAAACAAAGGGCTTCATGGGAAAGAGACTGCTGGTGGGCACTAGGTCTTGGGAATAGCCCTCCCTCAAACAGGGACCTCACACCTACAAGTGGAAAAACTAAATTCTGCTAACAATCTCTACATAAGTTTAAAGGACACTGAACTCAGGATGAAGACACAGCTTTGTGTCACCCTGACCAGAGAACCCTTCCACACCATGCTGGGTTTCTCACTAAGTAACTGTGAGCAAATAACTGTTTTTTTTTTTCAGCCACTAAGTTGTGGTGATTTTTATATGGTAACAGAAAACTAATATATAGGCTCAACTGTGTAACAAACACACAGCATTTTTTCCCAGTGGAATAAATTCATGGAGCAACATGTATAGTAGTTATATGTAATAAAATATTTCCAAAGATTTTTTAATTTAATTTTATGACTTTTATGCAACGTAATTAAATTTTAATGCAAGCCATCTTTCATTCATTCAACAATAATTAATTTAATACCTAGAATGTACCAGGAACAGCTTCAGGTGCTGGGATATGACTTTGACCTAGACAGCCCAAAGCCCCTATGCTCACTTGTCTTTCATTCTAGAGGCTTTATATGAGTGACATGGGAGACACTGGAGTTTTATAAGAAATGACACATCCTGATTCCTCAGCAGGATCACCATTCCTTGTGGGAAGAATCTCCATAGATGGCAGGTGAGGGGTTGACACTAATGACAATGGAGAGAAGGTGATGGAGACAAAGGGGAGAAAAGGCCTGAGGGGTGAGAGACAGAATGGCTGGAGAAGCAGAAAGCGAGGAAAAAAGAAGTGGAGGTAGAGATTCAAAAGCAGTGGAACTCTCAGATTTAAATATGTCGATTTACAAATCTTTAATAAACTTATTTACAGAGCCTAGCAGGATGTTTTCTGCATTTGGTATTGTGAGCCCTCAGAAAGAAGACGCCTACTGAGATGGGCTCCTGATAGTTAACTGGGCTAAAATTAAACAAAAACAAAACAGACCCCAGAACAGAGCCTAGCAGCCATTTTTACCTAGGGGCCTCTCAAGCAAACATCATTTCAGGTAGAGGCCTGTTTGAATAGCCAGCCTCTGCACTTATCTTTAACCCAACAGCAGTGGCTCTATTCAGACCAATCAGGACAGCGACTTTTGGACAAATCAACTTGCAGTGTTTGGAGTCTTCATTTGCATGTTGAGGAAACAGTCGTCTGGGTCAAGGAGCAGGGACTTCTGTCCAAATGAGCCACTTCCCCTGAGCTTTGAGTCTCCCTTTGGCCGGTGTGGCTCAGTTGATTGGAGCATCCTCACAGTCCTCTGTTTCAGGGCACATACTTAGGTTGCATATTGGATCCCCATTTGGGGTGTGTAAGAGAAGGCAACCAGTCGACATTTCTCTCTTCCTCCCTTCCTCTCTGCACAATGAAAAACTGTCCTCGGGTGAAGATTTAAAAAAAAAAAAAAAAAAAAAGACTGAGTCTTCCGGGATGAATTTCAATACAGCAGAAACCAGCAAACCAGCATTGAGTGGTTTGAGGAGACTGGTCACAGCTGAGCTGTTTTTGCACGGAATCAAGTTTCCTTCACCAGCACCCGAAAAAGGGATTCCTGTTGGCGTTGCAAGTGGCGCCAACGACCACCAGGAAGAGAAGAAAAGGGGGCTGAATCCAACCTAGCGTTTCTCCGGCTGGCTTTCTCAGACAGACCCTAGGGCACAACTCCCGGACACAGTGCGATAAAGACTCCCGGACAGGAGGAGGAGTCAGGGCAAAGACCCAGGTCCCCAAGCCTGGCCCTCCAGGTCTCGCCCTCCCGGACGAGTCTGGGAGGGGAAGCTCAGTGTTGGGCAGTACCCAGCTCTCGGCAGTTTCACTTCTCTGTCTCACAACCTGTGCGGCGTCCTCCTTCCTGGATACTCCTGACGTTGCCGCAACAGTCACTCAGAATGGTGTCTGGTTTCCAGAGAAGCCAATCAGCGCCACCGCCGTCACGTTACCCGGCTTCCGCGGATCCACCAGAACCGGAGAAGCCCCAGAGCTCGAGGATGCGGGCCGTGAGGTCCCCATTCGTCCTGCTGCTTTTCGAGGCCCTGGCACTGACCCGGACCTGGGCTGGTGAGTGCGGGGTCGGGAGGGAAGGGCCTCTGCGGGGGAGGAGGGAGGGGACCCGGAGGCGGGTGCGTTTCCAGTATCCCCAGCCCAGATACCTGACCCCACCCAGCTCCCCCTTCGGGGCCACGCCCCGTCTCGACCCCGACCCTGACCTTCTACGGCAGACCCCAGGGTTTCTCGGCCGGGGACCGGGAGAAGGGTCACTGGTCTCAGCCCTTCCCCGCCCCCAGGTCCCCACACCCTGAGATATTTCTACACTCTCATGTCCCGGCCCGACCTCCGGGAGACCCGCTTCGTCGCTGTTGGCTACGTGAACGACGAGCAGTTCGTGCGGTTCGACAGCGACGCCGCGAACCCGAGGATGGAGCCCCGGGCGCCGTGGATGGAAGGGCGGTGGGTGGAGCAGGAGGACCCGCAGTATTGGGACGTAGAGACGGGGAATGTTAAGGAAACCGCACAGAATTTCCGAGTGAACCTGAAGAAACTGCGCTCTCTCTACAACCACAGCGAGGACGGTGAGCGCGAGGGCCCGGGTCCGGGAACAACCCCTATCCCCATCGCCCCCGTGTACAGGCCGGGATCGCCCCGAGCTTTATCCCGAGGCTGCGGGACTTGCCCGGCCCCGACCCGGGAGAAGCCCGGGGCACTTTGACGGGTTTCATTTTCAGTTTAGGTTTGACCCCCAGGGCGAGGGCAGCTGCGGGGTTGGCCTCGGGGCGGGGCCAAGTCTGTGGGACTGACCTGGGGGGGCGGGGCCAGAGCCTCATACCTTCCAGTGGACCTACGGCTGCGAAATGGGGTCAGACGGCAGCTTCCTCCGCGGTTATGACCAGTTTGCGTACGATGGCGCCGACTATATCGCTTTGAACGACGACCTGAGCTCTTGGACCGCGGCCAACGTGTGGGCTCAGATCTCCCTGAGCAAATATGAGGATGTGGATGAGGCGGAGGTCCAGAGCAACTACTTGAAGAGCGAGTGCATAAAGTGGCTCAGCAGATACTTAGAAAAAGGGAAGGAGAGTCTGCAGCGTTCAGGTACGTGGGGCAGAGGGCCACTCTCCTCTCCCCTCGGGCTGGGCATCTACTAAGAGGAGAGAGGAAATGGGATCATACTAGAATAAGGCCCTCCTGTGGGTGGGGAGACTGAAGATCCAGTACCAGAGAGTGACTCCCACCCTTCTCTCAGGGACAGTTAGGGGTACAGTACAGTCTCTGGAGATGGAGGGGGAGATCATCCCTGAAATAACTGATCAGCACATACCTTGGACCAGGGGTGTCAAACTCATTTTTAGGGGTGAGGAGTGTGGGGCACTACATCAGCCTTGAGGTTGCCTTCAAAGGGCTGAATGTAATTTTAGGACTGTATAAATGTAACTGCTCCTTAACTAGGGGCAGGGAGCCTGGCGCTGCCTCAGGGTAGAAACAAGGCGCTGGGTGGGATAAAATAAGATGGAAGTCTGGATTCTGCCTGGGACCCTTGTGTTTGCCACCTGGGCTTTAGACCCTGGCAGTGTCTGTGGGGCCCATGGAGAACTAACTGTCTCTTAGACCTTGTTTGCTGCCCCACGCGCACTGTGTCCGAGGTATGACCCTGGATTTTCCTAATCCTTTGGCCTTCAGAAAGGTCTGAACCAGGATTCAATTATTTCCCTTCAGAGGCCTGCCTCTCCTACCCTGGGCTGTGTCATTCTGATTCTAGAACTTTTCAAACACTAGGGGATCATCCCAGATGCCTTATGTCCAGGCTGGTGTCTGGGTTTTGTCATGTCCATTCTCAGGATGGTCACATGAGTGCTGCTGGAGTGGCCCATGATGGATGAAAAATTCCTGAATTTTCTGACCCTTCTCCTTAGACCCTCCAAAGACACAAGTGACCCGCCACCCCACCTCTGAGCGGGAGGCCACCCTGAGGTGCTGGGCGCGGGGCTTCTACCCTGCGGACATCTCCCTGACCTGGCGGCGGGACTCAGAGGACCAAACCCAGGACACGGAGCTGGTGGAGACCAGGCCCTCGGGGGACGGGACCTTCCAGACATGGGCGGCCGTGGTGGTGCCTCCCGGGGAGGAGCAGAGATACACGTGCCACGTGCAGCACGAGGGGCTGAGTGAGCCCCTGACACTGCGATGGGGTGAGGAGGGGCCTCTGGGGATTTCCTCGGGGTTGGGGCAGGACCTGGGGGGCAGGGCCCTCACCTGCTGTCCCTTTGCAGAGCCTCCTCCTGAGACCAGCACCATCATCATCATGGTGGGCATCCTCTGTGGCCTGGTCCAGCTTGGAGCTGTGGCGGCTGGAGCTGTGATGTGGGGGAGGAGGCGCTCAGGTAGGGACGGGTGAGGTCTGATTTCTTGTCCCACTGGGGATATCAAGCCCAGGTAGAAGTGTGTCCAACTTCATTAATGAGAAGCACCATTCACACATGTGTACTTGCCTAGTGTGGGGTCCTATTTGCTAACATGTACTAAGGCATGTGTGAAAATGAAAGACAAACTTATCATCTTAATGAATCTGGTGATGGGGACCCGGTTCCCAGCAGTCACGGGTCAGAAGGGCGGTCCCTGCTGAGGACAGACCTCCAGGAGAGTGGTCGGTCCCATTCCTGCACATGTACTTTCTAAAGGTTTCCCGTACCTGCCTGGCGTCTGTCTGTAGTTAGAGTTCTAGAAATTCCCCTGGGATCCAGCACTAGGGCTTCCTGTAGGACCTCAGGGCCCTGCCTCCTCCCTGGTGTCTCACAGGATGTTTTCTTCCCGCAGGTAGAAAAGGAAGGAGTTACGCTCAAGCTGCCAGTGAGTGTGGAGGGGGGACCCCTGGGACCCTGTGTCAGCGTAGACTAGAGCCCATGGGGGACCTCCCCCTCCCCCAATAGTTCCTCCTTTAGCCTCCTCTCCTGGAGCTCTGACCATGTCATGTTTTGTGCCACCCAGGCAGTGACAGTGACCAGGGCTCAGATGTGTCTCTCACAGCTTGTAAAGGTGAGGCCCTAATGTAGGGAGTAGTTGGGGCAGAGGGGACGGAACTGGGTAATGGGGACTCTCTGGGACATTTCGAGCATGAGGTAGACATTTGAAAATGTCACCACTTAAAGCAACTGACCTAAATTTGTTCATGGTTATTTTTTTCTACAGCATGAGACAGCTGCCCTGTCTGGGAATGAGTGATGGAAGGTTCTTCACAAACACAGCTGCCAACCCGTTTGTGACTTCAGGGACATTTCATTTCTCTTTCTGCAAAGAGCATCTGAATGTCTGCATTCCCATCAGCATCACTGAGAAAGTGGGAAGCTGGCCACTTTCCCTTCCAGCAGAGGCAAGGCTTGCCCTCCCCTCCCTGTCTGAGCTTCCTAGTGCGCTGCTGAGGTGCAACTTCTTACTCCCTTATCGAAATAAGACTCTGGATATGAATTTGTTTTTTCACTTTCTGCCATTAAAGGCTGATGGAGCTCAGCCAGACTGGGAATCACTATCGTCAGTGACAGAGCTGACCATAGGTAGGGGATGTTTTTTTTTCCCCATGTCCCCCCATTCACAACACAGAGCAGGCAAAGGGCCTGGGCCGAGGTGTGTATGGGGTGGGTTCACTCTTCCTTCTCTTTCTGTATAGGAGGTGTAAGAACACAGCCTGTGGTAAGCACCGGGAGTCCCTAAGGAAGGGTTTTAAATCCATATTTAAAGGTGTTTTGCATTTTTTTGTAGGAAGAAAAATTTATTGAGATATAATTAATGCTGGGAGTTACCATGGGGTAGAGTCAGGTGGAAGATTTAGGAAGTGGGCTGTGTCAGCATAATAAAATCTATGCTTGCTTTCTGAAACTGTTCCCCAGATGTATTCCAAGAAATACATCTGGGGAACAGCAAACACTGGAACAGCCAATTTTCCATTTACATATAAAGTAGTATATGTATAATATTGGGGTCTAATGCTGTTCTGGGGAAAGCCATGGAACAGGCTCTAGGACACAGCCAGGAACAGCCCAGAGCCCATCCTGGGTTGGGTCCCACACAGGAACTACTTCCCTGCTGCTGGGCACAGATGTCACTGCTCATCCCACTGACCCCTGAAGGCAAGACCTGGCCCTTGCGGCTAGGACTGTCATCTCTGCTGCTCTCGCACCTGGACATTTAACTGCCACTCTTGCTACCCTTGCCAAATGTACTTTGTGTAGTCGCAGCCCCTCTGTGTCACCACATCCTGAGTCAGAGTCTGGCATGAGGTCACCTGACTGGTGGAGCCTCGTGCCGTGTCTAGAAGCACGAATGTTGGAAGACATGGGTTTCCCTCTTTTATGGAGGGGCATGGTCTCTGCCTCCGACCAAGGCTCTTCATATGTGGAATTCTTTACATGTAGGAGGGAGTTCAGGTGCTGGGGTGAGGGATGGGGAAAAAAAAGACTAATTTCAATTGTTGGAGTAAAGATCTGAGACTAAAATTTCTGATACTTTGCAGGCACTCAGGTTTTGCTCAATGAACAATGAGTAATAAATGCTATGTTTGTACTCATTCTCTTGATTTTGTTAGCTAGGATCCAGCATTTCTCTACTCCAGTTCATACTCTCAGATAAGCGGGTGGCATGTGGGATGGTGAAATGACTATTCAGAACGTCTTCTCCCTGCCTTTGTCTCTTAGTGGGTTAGAATACCAAAGTCTGGAAGACTTCAGTGGATGTGTGTGTGCACTGATGTCTTAAAAAGATTTTTATTTATTTTTAGGTGGGAAGAGAAAGAGAAAGAGAGAGAGATACATCAGTGTATAGTTGCTTCTCATGTGCCCCCCAACTAGGAGCCTGGCTTGCAACCCAGACATGTGTCCTGACTGGGAATCGAACCAGCGACCTTTTGGTTTACAGGCCTGCACTCTGTCCACTGAGTCACATCAGCCAGGGCTGATGTCTTGTAATGTTCATATTTATATTTCCTTGTACACAAATATTTCTGGGGAGACAATCTCTAATAATGGTCACTTTTCATTGGACTGTTGCAAAGGACTAAAACCCAAAAACCAAAACCCCTTTCTTGTTTCCTAGTTTTGACGGAGTTCCACTGAAAGTCTGAACCAAGATCAGCTGGTATTGGACCCGAGGACAGGCCATCAATGCTTATATTTGCTGATCTTGTGCTCTGGCATGCAATGGAGTAGAGGGTTTTTCACTTACTGTAAGTTTTACTTTGTGGAATGGTGAGGGATGTTTTCCTTCACCAAACCAGTTCTCTGATCCTCTTAACACCCGCTGGGTGTCCTGCAGTCAGAATTCTGCTACTGCCTGGAACCCACAAGGTCAGGGCTCCACCCTACAAGATTGTCCTCACGTAACATGCAAGTTACAGTTTTAGGTAACATGTTACCTGCACTTCTGTCTGATTTGGCTCCTAAGTTGGGGATCTCCCCGCCAACCCACTGCACAAGTCTAATAATTTGGTAGAACAACTCAACTCAGAAAAATGCTGTGTTTACTATTATAGTTTATTATAAATGATACGAGTGAGCAGCCAGATGAAGAGGAACATGGGATGACGTAGGGATGGGTCTTAGTGCAGGAGCCTCTGTCACCATAAAGTTGGAACGTCACCCCCTTCCATTCCAGCATGTGCATGTGTTCACTACTTAAGAAGCTCTCTGAACCACATTAAGAATTCTTTATTGAAGTTTCACTAGGTACCTGCGACTAATTAAATGATTTGCCATTGGCAATTGAAATAGAACTCCAGATTCTCTCCCTAGAGGTTGGAAGTGAGGCTGAAAGTTCCAACCTGATGGACAAGCGTAGCCTTTCTGGTGACCAGCCTTCATCCTGAAACCGTCCAGGACCCTTGGCCAAGTGCCATCTCATTAGCATCCTTGTCACTCAGGAGGTTCCAAGGGTTTCAGGAACCAGGGACAAAGATTTTGTGTTACACCACAGGTCTTTGACCATAGATTCTTTGTAATAAAAGTATTCTAATGGTTTACAGATGCTGGCACATCCCTGGAGTCCCACTGAGTCATTAAAAGTAGTCCAGTCCCTCCTCCTCTTGCATGAAAATACCTCCCAGGGCCTGGCCCCTCAGGTCTGTAGGCTCAATTTGATCTTGTCAGGGTTCAAAAGATCTCAGCTACATATGACTATATCCTTTCCAGCACCTGCTATAATTGAACTAAGAGACATCATGTCTTGCTCACACCCCTTTGAGGTGATGATGTAATGTTGGGATTTCCTGATTCATTCATTCCCTTACCTGCAGCTATTTTTCCTCCTCCCCATGTGTGCTACACTTTCCACCCTTGGAAGGGACATGAGCTTTGGCTGCTGACCTGGTCTAGACCACCAGCAGCAGGGCCCGTTTAGCACATGCCTTCCCCTCAGTCCACTCCTATGCAGAGAGGAGGGTCCCCAGAGCAGGACAAGTAGGCATCTGGCCACCAGGGATACAGTTGTGATCACTGTCAGCCCCTTGGGAATTGGCCACAAGGTGAACAACACAATTACATTCTTGCTCAGGAACCATCCCTGTTTATGGCCTTGGGAGTTGTACCCCCTACTGAGGCTACAGAGTTGGGGGAAGGAAGAAAGGGAGGAAGGGAAGGTGAGCTGTAGTCATTCCAATGTCCTCCCCACCTGGGATGAATTGTGTAGTCATATCTGCATCTTTCCACCCCAGATCCACCAGGGGAGAAAGAGGAAACTGCCCAGTGAGGGCACCCTTGTACCCCCTCTCAGGTGACCGTGAACCTACATTCATGCAGGAATATCAGCAGCCCACTGCCTCCCCAGCCCTGGGACACTGTTTAGACAACCAACATTTCCATGGCCCAAGCCAGTTTTCCACCAAACTGTTACTTTGAGGACACCTCTCTGTCCATATCAAATCATTATGGCCTGCAAAGGATGTTTTCTGGTTTGAAGCAATGTAACTCAGCCATCTAACTTGGTGCAGTGTCTGCTGTTTGGGTCCTTATACAGCTTTTGAGCATTTGTATGGACACTGGATAAGCCAAGGCGAGGCCACAGTCAGTGTCTATTCCTGTCAAGACCCATTTCTAGCTGCCACCCTGAATTTACCAGCATTAGTCTGACTTGCCAGCCATGTTCAAGGTCTTCCCATCATGGCATCTGCCCCCCCAGACATCTGCAGTCTCTCTTTCACTGGCAGACAGAACAATTATTTTCGTATTTTGTGCCTTGGAGGTTGCAAGGTTAATATGTCTAGACTTGGCCCATCTTGTGAAGCCAGGTGGCCAGCTCAAGTGAGGACAGCAGGATGTTCACTTATTATTTCTGATCGCCTTCCAAACCTGGAGCGTATTATAGTGATGGGCATTGACATGAACTGCGTTTAACACACCCTCACGTTCCAATAGTGATTTCAAGAGGACAGTGCACATGTGGGTGTTGTTTTAAAAGGCCAGGTTTCTACTGCTGTTCTGCCCAACCACATGGCCAATACCTGTGAACTGGCAAAAGCCAAACCACAAGGACTTTTATCTTTGTTCAATTCTTCCATTGCTGCTAGGAAAATGGTATGCACTTAAGCTCACTGGCCTGGGCCGTTTTTAACTTCCTTGGTCAGAGCAGCAGCTTTCTAAACAGTATATTGTCCATTTACCTTGCAACTGCCATTTATAAACCAAGCAGCTTTTTGTCAGTCAGTTGACAATGTTTATAGGACACTGTCCAAGTGACAATAGGATCCAGGAGCTTCTCACGCTGTTCCAAAGTCAGTCCCAGGGGAGAAGAGGCTTCTTGCTCCTGAGTATATCCCCCCTGCATTCACTCCCCTGGGTTCATGATCCTGTATAAACCATTTCCACTTTTTTTATGGAACTCTTCTGGGAGTTGTCCTGCACATTCAAGTGTTTGTCCAACATTTTCCAAGACATCCTGTGTTTCTCAGGTTTCCAAGATTATTTTGTGTCCTTTGGTCATAGGAATAATTTCAATTAATGTCCAATAGCAAGTTAGCCACTGCCTAGATGAAGTCCCACTAGTCATCCTGAGAGTTGCTCAGAGACTTTGCCTTACGCTCGGCAGCTGCTGCGCATGAGCCATGGTGCAGAGATGGTGTCTGCACTGTCCCCGCAGCTCCATCATATACTGGCTGCGTCCCATTCAGCACATCCAGTTCACACGGCTTCAAGGTAGGTTTGTGCCTCTGTCCTACATCACCAGGGAGGGAAGTGTTCCACTATCAGACAGGATGTCCTTTTGTTACCGAGCAGAGGTGCAAGGGGGAGGGGCAATATTTGGTCTACCCAGGGATGCCAAAAACTGCTACAGAACAGCAGGGGCCCCTCCCAAGGACAGTATACTAAATAACCTACTGGGTTCATCTGTCCGCCACCAGAGGAAAGACATCTCTCAATGCCAGAGATTTGTGAAAAGGAAAGGAAAGGTTTATTCAAAGCTATTCAGACAAAGTAGTGACCCAATGTCCCCATAAAAATATCAAAGTTCTTTAGGGTATATACCTACACACACAGCGCTCCCTTCTCCCCCTGTTCTAACTCGGGGTACTGTATCTCAGGAGAAGCTCACGTCCGTGTTTCAGGCTGCTGGCACCATCAGCTGTGTCGCCATCCAGGCAGGATCTCTAATTAATCCAAAGTTATGCTGCACCTTCTCATGGTCCACTGGCAAGAGTTCTTTGTACCCGTTTTTCCAGGCAAAG